GATAAAAAATGAAAACAAACAGAAGAAATTCAATCAGTCTTCACTGTATTTTAATTATTTCAAAACGGAGTGTGGGTGGGTGGGTGTGAGTGTGTGAGTAGATGAACAGAAGATCCTCACTCATACTCCCATTCCCACACCGATGCCAACATAAAATACATCCAGGCCCACACCCACACCCTTGACCACACCCACACCCCGTTTTGAAATAATTAAAATACAGTGAAGACTGATTGAATTTCTTCTGTTTGTTTTCATTTTTTATCATTATAAGTATTTTATTCATTAATATTGTTCAATGTAACAAGAAAGATCTAGAAGGTACTACGTCTTTGGTATATTTACGTAAAACTGAAGAGTTTTAACAAGATGCAATATTCTATCATACTCTCAGGACGTGATCTATGCGAGACAGCATAGTTCTTCAAGCACTTTTACCATAACGAGAAGTGATATTATTATGAAGGCTATTTATTTTTGTCATAAAAAGAATCATTAGAAAAGATAAAAAAGAATTCGATTCTAATTGTTTGAAGACCTTTCTATAGGGCATCTTTGTGATGGGAAATCACAGTTTTCCTATTTACTCAAACCAAGATACGTGAAGTAAAAAGGGTCACTTTTTTCTGATAGATTTTTTACATTATGAAACTACATTAGATGTTTAGTATCAATACATCAAAAGATGTGTCGTGTTCGGAGGTTTCTCAATATGCAGCAGGTTCATGAACAAAATAATAATTGTAATTAAAATTAAGACAAAAGCAAAGAAACAAATACTCAATTGATTCTGACCGTAATCGAACTTACTTTCGAAATTTTTTCTGTAGCAAACATTGTGTCATGGTGTCATGTGCACAGCGATGAATTTATATATGATTATTTCAATATGATATTGCATAATTCAATATTGTAATTGGGTAAGAACTATTTTGCAATTACCCACGAGACACTTTTTTTACGATTATAAACTCTTCTTAGCGTAAAAATTCTAGTGTGTGTGTTTACAGAAGACAAGAATGTCAGTACTATTCACCTCAACAGGTAGAGGTGGATGTAAGGTTTTCCGTTCATTCATAAATAAAAGTAAATACTCATCGACAGTCATACATTGGCACTTTTGATTTACTTTAGACTACGAAGATCTAGTAAATTTATTACATGCAATAATTCAAAAATCTGATTTTTCTTCAACAGTCGATGCTCTGTCATATTTTCTTGTGCTGTATCCAAACAATATCTGACTTATTAAACATTAGTAGCTTGTGATAACAAATAGATAGTGCTGAGAAATTGAGATTTATTACGTTTATTATAGCAGTTTCAAATGAACTTAAAGCTAATGTTTGATGGTGTTGGATTATGCTCTTTCAAAGGTACATTAAAAATTGTAGTTTTAGACCAATATATAGCATAGTAAGATGATTTGTGATCATTCTATTCACATTCTCTTAAAGGTGTATGCTTCAAACGAGTTATGAAATGTTTAACCTTCATCACAATCAGAGAAATCAATCAGAAATAAATGATTTTATTTGCTAGGACATTTTCAATATCACACGTATATAGTATAGCAAGCTATTGATTGCTCTATATATCACTAGTTTTCCTTGAAGTTGAATTCGATTTAAAATGAATTTTGGTTTTATTATTGAGGGATGTAAGTATGAATGAAGGTCTACACCCAAACCCTATAAAAAATTCACTCCAAGTACAGGGAAAGTACGCATTCAAGCCAAATAGTCTGTATCTGTAGCAGCTTCGCATTCACATGCTCACACATTCTCGCTGTTTCATAGATGACCTAACAATCGATTGAACGAACGTTTATCTAGTCTTCAAGGGCAACACATACAAGAAATATCCTCAGTATGAAACACCCGATGAAAATAGAAAGGAAAACAAAGAAAACCTTACATATTGGATAGGCGTGTCTATAAAATAGGCATTTTTCTGGTTCCTTGGCGCTCTAAAGTTTTATTTATTTTTTATTAAATTTTTGTTTAAAATATGACCTCGAAGAAAAATATATGTCCTAATAAGCTACCTAACAAATCATATTTTTATTTGCATTAATCCATCGCACTCTATGTCATATCTATTAAGCAAAACTTCCATAATCCTAGAGGATTGATCAAATTTCTAATATGACTACATATATATGTGATTGCAGGAAAATAAATAGGTAGTAAGCGTGCCATATTCGTATTCAAGTCATCATACAATGTCGTTTCATTTGACTTTTTTTCTTGCTATTATTGCCACAAATTTAATAGCTGTGCTAAGTCAATCCAATGACAACGATTGTGTAGCCGACGTTCAACCAGCCGAAGGCTGTTTTCAGTATATGGATTCACCTGCAAAAATGCGACACTCTTTGCAGATCGTCTCTCATACGGTAGTGATTGTTTGAACATATCTCTTTTTTGGAGCACGCCGATGTGCAACATGACCATTTTCTTTGACAGTCATGTGCTAAGTCCATATGAATTATGTCTCAAACAGGTTGGATGTGCAAAAGCATTCTACACGACCGAAGAAGGAAATGAAATACCCATCGAATGGAATTCGTCGAATGAGAGACATATTTGCTTTGCAGCACCATATGGCGGAAGACCGATAATGAAATTTCGATTTGATGCTGGAGATCGATGGCATTGCTACAGGACTTTCATTGACTTTTTTAACATATTTTAACTTGACTTCTTTTTAACACCGTGTGAATCCATTTTTTTTACACTTACATCATCGGAGAATGACACAATAAAATATTAAATATTGCTAAACAAGAGGTAAAACGTTGAATATCGGGTATAGATAGATGTGTGAGTAATGACAATGACAACATTCATATCCACACCGTCAAGCAGAAGTTTGATCGATTCTTCCTATTGTGTTTGATTGCAGTCGATTGAACGCTTTCCTCAAATAATTAATTTCGATCAATTTTTTCTCAAAACAAATGGTAAAATCTCTAATTAACACTCTTGAATCTACATCAATTATAATCCATCATTTTTCACAAGTTTCATTTCATTATAATCAAAAATCATAGTAAAAATCGATGAAATTTGATTTTTTCTCTATTCTATTTGATTCTAATTGATTGCCAATCGATTACTAGTATACAAGGATGTGCGGATATGAATCTACGAGGCGATATCTGTTTAACACTGAGGCTGTAAACCATTATCCACATCCAAACCCGCATCCTCATAAAAATTTCGTCTGCTTCTCGGATAGAAATAGCCATCGGGTGATGAAATGGATGAAAGGTACCAACCCATGTACTGGCGTCACTGGCGATCAATATGAAGAAAATCTTCTTAATATACTATTGAATTCACGTGGAATTGTTGTAAATTAAGCAAGTACTATCCATGTAGCTGATTCATTAATTCATCAAACAACCTGTTGGTATTAAAAAACAAGCCAAAGAAATGTCATCGTTGATGGAAATAATTAAAGAAATCAATTAAATCAAAGATAGTTAAAGACTTTTTAAAAAGGATATTGTGCTGAATTATTTGTCTTATACTTTTTAACAAGTGATCGAAAAATAAAATCATGTTTAATAGGATTATTGTACATCGAGTAACAAATCATTATGAGTCAAATTAAAGAAAGATTAGTTTTTCGTCAAGTTCTATTAGAGAATTCTGATCCAAATTTTCTGAGAGATATTATGTGTACCGGTTTATCATCAACTTAAAACATTTTGTTTACAGAGTTCGTTGATAATTAATGATATCTGAAATTCTCTTTTGACTAGAAGCTGAATATAGCAGATGACTGGAACTTCGATCCGTCGAGCATTTGAAATTGCTTATATGATGCAGTAAAGAAGGACACAGAACAAGACGAGGAATGTAAATTGTTTTTTTTCTTAGCTTTTATAAACTAATATCGTTGAAGTTCATTCAGTCAAAGTATTAATACTATCAGTGTGCGAGAAATTCGTTTTATGCAGAATATTGAAACAATTTTGCGTTGCATGCAATATATAAAAAGATAATATTATCATGTGACACGCAGATCCAGTGAGAATAGTTGGTCTTTCTTATCATTATATAGCATACAATAGATTCATATCTTAGCACAAAAAGAAAGCAAATAGACAGAGAAAAAAAAACATATTTATTCTCCGTAGAAATCGTGTGAAAACGAAATCGAATTTATGTTGAAGTTGGAGTGAAAATGACTACTGGTTCTTATATAAATCGATTGATTGTTGACAAATCATTATTTAATTCCGTTCGAGGTCATGCACCATCCTATGATCGTAATCATCTTCAACATGGTATAGTTCATTTAAGTGTTGGCAATTTCCATCGTTCACATCTAGCTTATTATATGGATATATTAGCAAGTGAATACGGACAAAGTGAATGGGGTATTGTCGGTATTGGAGTCCGTTCCGTTGATAAACCGATGGATACAGTGATGAAAGCACAGCACGGTTTATATACATTAGTATCCAAAGGTGTTAATGACAATGATATAAATGTTCGAATTATTGGTTCTCTAATTCATTATATATTTGCACCGGAACAACCCGAAGAAGCATTAGCAATACTTGTTCACCCAAATACAAAAATTGCATCGATAACAATTACTGTCGTTGGTTATGACTTCGATGTAAATCATGCTGATATTCAATATGATTTTAAAAATTCTGATAGACCTAAAACAATATTTGGTTTTCTTGTGCATGCATTAGATGCGCGTCGTCGTGCTAATGAAAAACCATTTACGATTGTGTCATGTGATAATGTTCAACAGAATGGCGAAACAACAAAAAAATGTATTTTACAATTTGCTAAACACTTAAATAATCCTGATTTATTGGAATATATTCAAACAAAAGTTTCATTTCCAAATGCTATGGGTATCAGATATTGCTTATTTGAAAGGTAGAAAATAAAATATTTCTGGTCTTATTTAGTTGATCGAATTACACCCGTAACAAACGATACTGATCGTGAATATGTTCGATTACATTGTGGTATCAACGATGGATGGCCCGTAATAGCTGAGCATTTTATGCAATGGGTTATTGAAGATTCATTTTGTAACGATCGTCCTCCATTAGAATTACTTTCTTCATCACCATACAATGTTCTTCTAGTTGATCATGTCGAAGCATATGAATGTATGAAAATGCGTCTTCTCAATGCATCACATACAGCTATGTGTTCTATTGGCTATTTAATGGGTTATACATACATCCATGAAATAATCTCAGACAAAGACATAAAATTTTATATTGAACAATTAATGGATAAAGAAATAACGCCTATATTATCTCCTGTACCTGGTATTGATTTTGAAAAATATAAACGTACATTAATTGAACGCTTCTCCAATCCACATATTAAAGATAATGCACAAAGAATATGTATGGATGGAGCAGCAAAATTTCCGAAATTTCTCGTTCCTACTATTCTGGAGCAATTTAAACGAGGGAATAATCCACATTATTTTGCATTTTCTATTGGAGCCTATATAAGGTATTTAGGAGGATATGATGAACAGAATCAACCCATTATATTACGAGATCCTTTAGCAGTTGAACATAAACTTGATAAATTAGCTGCCGGAACAAAACCAGATGTTCAACAAATATTAAATGTTCAACAAATATTTGGTGATATAGCTGAAAATAAATCATTCAGTGAAAACGTCGAACGAGTTGTTAAACTTTTCTATGAAATCGGTTCGAAGAAAACGCTTGAACAATGGATTCAAGAAGCACCAACGAAATAAAAAAACAATAAATATCTCCTTCTCTATGCAAATTATTGTGGAGTGAAAGTCAAAGGTAGTCGAGCTATAACTATTAACCATAGTTATAAGTCTTAAATAATTTAACTTTTGAACTTTTCCAGTAGTTCTGATTGGGTTGAAATGATAATTCTTTTAGTTCAATTAGCATATTTGATAAAACAGATTAGAATATATTTATTTCAATGTGTTTTTAATTAAAATAAAATACTATTTCTAGATTACTAGGAGTGTTTTTTGTCTGTGTATTCATCTATGATTTATGTTTTATTCCCGGGTCAATAATAATCTTGAAAATGTGAGCATAATTTAATTTAGAAAAAGGTGAAGCTACTAACTTTGATATAGCTCTTTCAGACTACAGGTGTTGAGTTGGGATTCACATCTGTACTTAAGAACTTATGAACCATTGTCATTGGAATCTGAAAGACGATTTTGTAGATTTTGGATTTTTAACTTTATTTTCTATGGTAGGGAAAGATTAATTGTTCTCGCATACATTACGCAGAACATTTTTCTTAGGATATAAGTCATTTTTTCCGGTCCAGGTTCGCATAAATTTTAATAAGAAAATGCAAAATTGAAATCAGATAAATAAATTGGATCTTGTGAAGTATCAAGTGAAATTGAGACAGTCGTGATATTGAAAATTATCCATCTTTCTTACTAATCTATACAGAAGCAATGTTAATGTGTGTTCGGGGTCATGTATATCTCATCTACTTTGGAATGAAATAAGACAGAAACTTGTCTTCAGAAAATTAATGTCCTGTTGACCACATATAATTAGATTTGCCTTAAATATAAAACAGAACGTTTGTTGGTTAGTTACATGCTAGTTGAAAACATTGTCAATTACTAAACATGCCACAGAAATATATGCAGATATTATTTTTGTGAACTGTGAATTTCTTTGTAACAATATGAGTTTTTAAACCGCTTTTACAACTTATTGCGTTGTACTGTTGCTATGCGAAGTTATTCTCAGTAAAGCGTCGAATCGAAAAGAATTCAAAAAGAAAAATGAAAAGAAAACAAGGACAAAAAAATTGCTGCAAGATGTAAAAGTAAGCATACAATCATTCAACAAAAGAGAGACATCTCCTATGCGCAACATCTGGTGAAGCTGAAAACAGTCATCGCTGAAGTTTATTCGATGTTGTTGATTTTTATGACTTGTGATCAATAATTTATTAGCAAGCAGTAAGAGACTACTTGAAAAAAAAGTTTTTATATGTTATAACTAGGCCACTACATGAATAGAGTATTCATGGGGTAGGATTGCGAAAGATATAAACTGGTTATCTATGACTGGTATTCGTTTATCCAATCAGCGATAAACATCTATCAACTATTGAATAAACGAATTTGTTTATATCGTGCCAAGGGCGCTTAAGTTTAGAGATTTT